ATGACAATGCTACCGCTCATGTCTGTCGTTCAAACGAGTCCGTTATGCATCGTTGGCCAAATCACCAATAAGACACCCAAAACGAACTGAATAGTGCAGGGTTGAGAGAACCCTCTGCAAACCAGACCCTTCATCCGCCGACCCCAAAGGCGTGTGAGACGTCCTTCCAGATCGGCACAACCCCACGGAACTTCTGTTCTTGTCACCCCCACGCCACGAAAATCTCGTTTTCGGGACCTCCCCCGCGACACTTTCTCGCCCGCAGCCCACCAACACCCCCCCCCCCGCCCCCACCACGTCCCGGCACCCCCACCCCTCGCGAGCTTTATTCTTGGGACCCTCCACACGACAAGTTCTAGCCCCAAACCTAGGGATACCCCACCCGACGCGAGCTTTGCTCTTGGGACCCCCCACACGACAATTTTTACCGCGAAAACTGCCAATACCCCCCACCGCGCCCCCGCCACGCTCCGGCAACCCCCACCCCGCGCGAGCTCAACACTTGGTTACCCCCACACGACCATCTCTACCCCGAAACCTACCGATACCCCCCACCGCGCCCCCACCACGCCCCGGCACCCCCCTACCCCACGCGAACCCAGTTCCTGGGACCCCACACACGACCATTTCTAACCCGAAACCTACTGATACCCTCCACCACGCCCCCACCACGTCCCGGCACCCCCACCCCACGCGAGCTCAATTCTGGGGACTCCCCACACGAAAACTTTTAGCCCGATACACACCACCGCGCCCCCACCACGTCACGGCACCCCAACCCCACGCGAGCTGAATTCTTGGGACCCCCCAAACGACAAGTTCTGGCTGGCCCGAAGCCTACCGTCACCCCCCACCGCGCCCCCACCACGCCCTGGCACCCCCAGCTCCGCGAGCTCCATCTCTGGGGCTCCGACCACACAACAACTTCTGGCCAAAAACTTCACAATACCCCCCCCCCCCCCACCCCCCCCCCCACCCCCCCCCCCCCCCCTCCTCCCCCCCCCCCCCCGCAGCCCCCCCCCCCACGCCCCGGCACCACCACCCCACGTCAGAGCTCAATTCTAGGGACCCCCCACGCGACAATTTCTGACCCGAAACCTACCGACACCCCGCACCGCGCCCCCACCACGTCCCAGCACCCCCACCCCAGCTCGCGCCCCGAACCGACCCGCGCCCCCCTCATCGCCCCCTTCCTGGCCTCGGCACCCCCAACCCACGGAAACCGGAAGCTCTGTTTTTGGAGCCCCCACCGCGCAAGCTCGCGCCCAGAACCGACCCGCGCCCCCTTCCTGGCCCTCCTCCTGGCCCCGGCACCCCGAAGTCACGGAAGCCCTGTTCCTGGGACCACCCACTTCGCAATTTCGCGCCCAGCACCGACCTGCGCCCCCCTCCTGGCCCCCCCTCCTAGCCTCGGCACCCCCAACCCACGGAAGCGTTGTTCTTGGGACCACCCGTTTCGCAATTTCGCGCCCAGAACCGACCCGCGCCCCCCTCCTGGCCCCCCTCCTGGCCTCGGCGCCCCCCCAACCTACAGAACCTCTGTTTTTGGGACCCCCACTCCGCAAGGAGGAGGAGGAGGAGGAGGAGGAGGAGGAGGATCTCGCCCCCAGCCGACCCGCGCACCCCTCCTGGCCCCACTTTTGGCCTCGACAACCCCACCCACGTAAGCTCCGTTTTTGGGACCCCCCACCCCGCAATTTCGCGCCCAGAACCGACCCGCGCTCCCCCCCCTTAATGGCCCCCCCTCCTGGCCCCCGCACCCCAAGCTCACAGAAGATCTGCTCTCGGGACCACCCACCCCGCAAGTTCGCGCCCAGACCGGACCCGCGCACCCCTCCTGGCCCCCCTCCTGCCCTTGGCACCCCCAACCCACGGAAGCTCTGTTCGTGGAACCCCCCACCGACCCACCCCTCCTCCTGGCCCCCCTCCTGCCCTCGGCATCCCCAACCCACGGAAGCTCTGTTCTTGCGACTCCAACCCCGCAATTTCGGGCTCAAAACCAACCCGCGCCCCCCCCCCCCTGGCCCCCTTCCTGGCCCCGGCACCCCCAACCCACTGAAGCTCTGCTCTTGGGACCCCCACCCTCCAATTTCGCACCCAGGAGCCGACCCACGCCCCCCTCCTAGCCCCCTTCCTGACCCCGGCACCCCCAACCCGCCGAAGCTCTGTTCTTGGGACCCCCACCGCGCAATCTTGCGCCCAAAACCAACCCACGCCCCCTTCCTGGTGCCCCCTCTCCTGGCCGCGGCACCCCAAAGTCACGGAAGCCCTGTTCCTGGGACCACCCACTTCGCAATTTCGCACCCAGCACCGACCTGCGACCCCCGCATTGCCCTTATCCTGGCCTCGGCACCTCCAACCCACGAAAGTTTTTTCTTGGGACCACCCACTTGCCAATTTCGCGCCCAAAACCGACCCGCGCCCCCCCCCTGGCCGCCCCTCCTAGCCTCTCGGCACCCACAACCCACGGAAGCTCCGTTCTCGGGGCCCCCACCCCGCAATCTCGCGCCCAGAACCAACCCCCGCGCCCCCTTCCTGGACCCCCCCCGCACAGCCTCGGCACCCCCAACTCACAGAACCTCTGTCCTTGGGCCCCCCCACCCCCCGCAATTTCGCACTCAGAACCGACCCGCGCCCCCCTCCTAGCCCTCCTCCTGGCATCGGCACCCCCAACCCACGGAAGCTTTGTTCTTGCGACCCTCCACCCCGCACTCTCGCGCCCAGAACCGACCCGCGCCCCCCTCCTGGCCCTCCTCCTGGCCCCGGCGCCCCCCCAACCAACGGAAGCTCTGTTCTTGGGACCCCCACCCCGCAATCTCGCGTCCAGAACCGACCCGCCCCCCCTCCTGGCCCCCATCCTGGCCACGGCCCCCCCAACGATTGGGGTGCATTGCGGCCCCTCGGGGCCTTGAATTAACTTCATTAACTTTATTAACTGTATTAACTTTATTAACTTTATTAACTTTATTAACTTTATTAACTTTATTAACTTTACGTTGGCGTTAATAAACCGAATCGCCCCCCTCTCCGATGCCCTCGGAAAGTTAATAAAGTTAATAAAGTTTAATAAAGCTGATTCAATCAACTTTATTAACTTTATTAACTTTATTAACTTTATTAACTTTATTAACTTTAGCGGCCCCCAGGGCGAGTGCCAAGGTTGCTAATGTTAATAAAGTTGATAAAGTGGGGCCCCGACCGGATTCTCATCTTAAACTCCAGTAGGGCCCTGGGGGGCTACTAAAGTTAATAAAGTTAATAAAGTTGATAGAAAGTTAATAAAGTTAATAACGTTAATAAAGTTAATGAGGGAAATGGCCTAATGAACTTTATTAACTTTATTAACTTTATTATTAACTTTATCAACTTTAGTAGCCCCCAGGGCGAGAGGAAGTGGATGCGGAGGAGTGGCGAGGAGCTGCGAGTGCCAAGGTTGCTCAGGTTAATAAAGTTAATAAAGTGGGATCCGACCTGATTTTCATCTTAAACTCCAGTAGGGCACCGTGCTCCTAAAGTTAATAAAGTTAATAAAGTTAATAAAGCTAATAAAGTTAATTCGAGGATTGGCCTAATTAACTTCATTAACTTTATTAACTTTATTAACTTTAGCAGAACCGGGCCCTACTGGAGCTTAAGATGAAAATCAGGTCGGGGTACCACTTTATTAACTTTATTAACCTTAGCAGCCATGGCACTCGCAGCACCTCACCACTCCTCCGCATCCACTTCCTCTCGCCCTGGGAGCTAATAACGTTAATAAAGTGAATAAAGTTGATAAAGTTAATAAAGTTAATAAAGTTAATAAAGTTAATTAGGCATTTATTAACACTTATTAACTTTATTAACTTTATTACCTTTATTAACTTTAGTAGCACCGTGCCCTACTGAAGTTTAAAATGAAAATCAGGTCGGGTCTAACTTTATTAACTTATTAACTGTATTAACCTTAGCAGCTCCCATGGCAAGAGGAGGTGGATGCTGAGGAGGGGGGCGGAGCTCGACGACGACGACAAGAACGTCCTCCTCCTCCACCTCCTCATCCGCGGCTTTGTTGGTTCAAGTGTTGCGAGCAGCACCGTCGCGGAGGGGTTTTCCCGAAGCTGTCCGGCGTGGTAAATTGTTCCACTTACCAGCAGCATGCAGATGACGTGTTCTTTGGGCGAGTTGCTAGCCCGAGTTCTCTTGCTCCTCCATCTCGTTCGCGGAATGGAAGGAGTACGCATCGTTGGAGGCATCGTGTGCCAGGCAGCGCTCATGCGCATGTTACGCGGCGACGTGGTTCGCCCAGCACTCTGGCGCCGCCTGAAGACCAGTGTGAACAAGCATTTGAAAAAGATCAGGAAGCCAGATACTTTCTTGTCTCACGCTGAAGGGCTAAATGCTGTTTACCCTGGCATGCATCCACTCACTGCGCTTGCTAACTCCGCCGCTGCCCGCAAGCTGTTTCAGAAGGCCGCGGCAACCACGGCGCCTGTCGTGCTCAAGTTTCTCAGCAAAGGGTACGTGATCTCTGCGGCGACCAGTTGCTCGAGCACTTGCGGCTCGCGGAGGACGTGAAGGCGGCCTTCGCCCCGGAGCTCGTCTTGTTGAAGGAACTGCGCGAGGACCGCGACGGAGTGCGCCTGAGAGAACTCGGGCTCCCAGGGGCACTTGGCACAGACCTTATCCTCATGGCGATCCACGGAAAGAAGGAGCTCCCACACGCGACCCTCCTGGACCCCGACTGCGAGGAATTCTTGAAGAAGCTGAAGCGGCTGTCGTGGTTCCTGCGATGGGCTGCCGCGTCGGCCATGCCTGAACAGTATGCCACGCTGAAGGACGACTCCTCTGTGACGTGGGTTGAGGGCAGTTGCTTCGCGCACTTCTGGCAGATGGCCGAGTCCTACGTGACGATGCACATCTGCGACTTCGCGCGCCAGCGGCCCGTGAAGCACCTCACGAAGGCATGCGACGGCATGCGCATAGACGCAGGCAGGGTCGCCGCCGAGAAAGCGAGGCTCGCTGTGGAGGAGCAGGGCACGGAATCGTTGTCGGACACCGAAGTCTTTGCCCTCGCGGCCAGCCGCTATGTAGCGCAGCAGCCGCTGGCATTCGTGGTGCGCCTTCGGGAGAAAAAGCACCTACCCTTCTACAGTTTGGTTCGCACCTGCAAGTACAGCGACGTCACCATCGATCCAAGCTTGGTGCCCGAGCAGGACCTTTCGAGCGTGTTCATCACGTTGGCGACGGCTGTGGGCGACCATTCCGCGAACCCGGATTGCGCGCAGCAGCTCATGTCACTGGTCCGTGAACACCGCGAGCGCGATCTAGCCGGGGTAACGTATCTTGAGGCGAAGTCAATCCTCACCATAAACGAGTTGATCCCGACAGCCGCCCTCCCCGAAGCAGGTGCGGGCGTGTGGCTCATGCACTTGCACGATGAAGACAGCATTCCACGTTGCGCCGTGGTTTTCGTCGAAGACGACGGGCCTGAGACCGTCCTTGTCTACCTGGCGAGGAAGAAATTCACATTCCCATCGAAGAAGCAATTCAAAGACCTTTTGCTGCGATCCGTGGACCGCCACTGGCACTTTTTCTTCCAGATGTTCGGGGAGGGCCCGCTGGGAGGGCAACAGAGTACCTCGCCGCCCGCGGGGTTCGAGAACCTCCTGAAGATGACGGTCTTCTGACATAAGTGCGCCACACGCCCGCATAGCCGCATAAGAGATCGATGTGCGCACCCCTACTGGGGTGCCCAAGACAAGAAAATCACGTCATCTGTCATCACCGTTGAGACAGTGCTAGAGAACGAGAGAGAAAGAGAGAGAGAGAGAGACCGAGAGAGTGCTGGAGTTTAAGATGAAAATCAGGTCGGGATCCCAAATAGAGTTTCCGACACACCCGAGCAATTCTCCAGGCACCCCGCGTGCATTTTTTGGGCCTGCTGTAGGATGAGAGTCAGCGACGGGCCCGTGCTGGAGTTTAAAATGAAAATCAGGTCGGGGCCAAATAGAGGTTCCGATACCCCGAGGAATTCTCCAAGCTCCCCGCGTGCATTTATTGGGCTTGCCGTAGGAATCAGAATCAGCGCCAGGCCCGTGCTGGGGTTTAAAATGAAAATCAGGTCGGGAACCCAAATAGAGTTACCGATGATAAGGGGTCTCAAGACTCCTCGCGGGTGCCGAGTTCCTCTGTGAGGGTTGGAGAAGCGTGCCAGGTCTGGCATCGCAGCGATATCTTTTTTGCCCAAAGCAACAAGAGAAAGAGAGAGAGAGAGAGAGCGCAACGATTTTCATCTTAAACTCCAGTGCGGGACAGAGTAATCTTCGCTGGCAGTCCTGCCCCTTCGGATGGAGGAATCTTCGCGGGCAGTTTTGGCAACTCGAGCCACTCGTGGCCCGTTCGTGGCCGCGTCGGTCGGTTTCGGCGCCGCACCGCTCAGACCGCAATCCACCCGCCTCTTCCCCCCAACCCACGGAGGCTTTGTCCCTGGGACACCCCACCCCGCAAGTTCGCGCCCAAAACCGACCCGCGCCCCCCTCCTGGCCCCCCTCCTGCCCTCGGCACCCCCAACCCACGGAAGCTCTGCTTTTGTGACCCCCCACCCCGCAATTTCGTTCACAGACCCGACCCGCGCCCCCCTCCTGGCTCCCCTCCTGGCCTCGGCACCCCCAACCAACGGAAGCTCTGATACTGGGACCACCCACCCCGCAGTTGGTGGAGCGGGATGCTCCACTACCAATAAGAAATGTAGGGCGAAGGGTGAAAGGGGAACCTTTTCGGTGAAGCGTTCTAGAACGAATGGGTCAAAAGACACATACCTGTATAGCGGGCGCGGAAGGTGGCCACCCTTGAGCCAAACCCCCATGGATAGCACCATCTACCCGCCTGCCTGCCATGCTGCACATGCTGCTACCTATGACAGCGCTAACGTTCCGAGTGTGGGGGGGAGCGGAAGAAGAGCAGCAGCAGCAGCAGCAGCAGCAGCAGCAGGAGGAGGAGGAGGAAGAGAGGACGTACCCTGAGGAAGGGGAAGAGGAGCAGCAGGAGGAAGCAGGCAGAGGAGGGGAGGAAAAGGAGGGGAAGGAGAAGGGCGACGACAACGACGACGGCGAGGCAGAGGAAGGGACAAGCGCAGGAGAGAACGAGTTCGCTCCTACCCTGCTTACTTCTCGTCTCCAACGATCTGGGCTTGTGAGCCTCAGGTCCTTCACAACTCCACGGGCAGTCGACTCGTTGGTGGCATGGCGGTGGATTAGCAGGGCTAGCGAGGTGTTCAGGTCCCGCCGACAGCCGAAGGCTAACATCCACCGCCGTGCCCCCTGGCACATCGGGGTGTGGCGGCAGAGCTCCTGTGCTGTCTGGCTTGGTTTCTGTAGTGCTTGAAGGGCAGCATTCCTCTGCGTGCGTCCGCTGCCCCCTGACTCCCTCCCAGCGTCTTGGACGGCACCAAGACAGGCCAAGACGCCGCAAAGATTGCCGCAACAGGCTCAGGAAGACCCCAAGACGTCTCCACGACTGAGAAGTCAAACAAAAACGAAGAGCACATAAGCTCTGTCCCGAGCGGACCTGGCCCACCTGACCCTCCGAAACTGCCCCAGGCACTCCCCCAGTCGGCCGCAAGACCAAAAAGCCCAACCCGAACTCACGGGTCACAGCGCTCTGGGGCTCTGAGCGGCCTCCAGCTAAGACGCCCCGCTGGGGCCTCGGAAAGATAGCTGCCTCGTGTTACGACCCTCCCGAGCCCGCAAACGTGCTGGGGCCTTCTGGCCAGTTCTCGGAGAGTCGCGACACGGCATGCTGCACTGGCATGGTGGCGGAACTCGCTGCAGGCACATGAACATGGATACTGTTCGTCCAATGGAGGGATGGTGAATTTCGGGAGAAGCCGCATCAGAACGAGAACCGAGAAGAGGGAAGGGAAAGAGGGCAGGGAAGCAGAAGCAGAAGGTGAGGGGTAAGGGAAAGTGGCGGGATGCGTGAGAAAGAGAAGAAGCAAGCGAGGCAGGGAGTGAGCGAACGAGGGAGAGAGAGGGAGGGCAATGGACGAAAGAAATCGCAAATATCAAATTTCGATGAAATGTGGATCAGCTCTTTGCTATTGAAACGTGGGCAACTTCGACGCGCCCCCTCGCGGCACGAGAACGAGATTGTCCTTGTCCCTCGACCGCTCGACCTCCAGTTGAAGCTAAGCTTGTCACTCGATGTTGTGTCATGCTGCTCGGGAGCTAGGCTCATGGCCGCTCGTACCTTGAAACATTTCTGAACGTCTAGCTCCCTTTCCTGCGGCCTGGGACTATCGCACAAGAGCAAGCGATGCTCTCTGTCGAACATGTCGCCCCTGATGAGGAGGTTCGAAAGAGGAAAACGAGGTGGGAGACGAGGAGGAAGAGAAAGAAAGATGAGGACAAGGATGGGGCGGAGGAGGAAAAGCACGAGGAGGACGCGGAGAACAAGGGCGGATGAGGAGGGTCGAGGAGGAACAGGAAGACGCTGATGAGCACGATTGGGAGGAGGACAAGGAGGGAGACGCGAGGAGAAGTAGGAGGGAGGAAAAGCGAGGAGAGCGGAGTGAGGAGGAAGAGAAGAAGTGGGAAGGTGAGAGGGCAGGAGAGGGAGAAGGAGAGCGAGGGACAGGGAGAGGGAGAGGGAAAGGCAGACAGAGGGACAGGGACGGGGACGGGGACTTGTCGTTAAGGGCTTAAAGACTTCTGACGTCCCTTGACTCGCGCTGGAGTGGCCACGAATTGCTCCGAAATTCCCTGGAGATCTTTGGATTTACCAAGATTTACTTCGATCCGCCTGGATGTATCTGCATCTAGCTTCACTGATCAGAATTGGCCCCCATAAATCGATTGGCGAAAAGTCGTCAGCACTTGAGGAACCAGGCCAGGGAGAGAGAAGGAGAGAGGGGGGGGAGGGGAAAAGCGGGAGAGTGGCGTGGGGGATGCAGGGAGAGAGGAGGAGAGGGGGGGGAGGGGGGGGGGAAAAGCGGGAGAGTGGCGTGGGGGATGGATCTCCTGTCAGCACGGGCTGCCCGCACAGCCTTGTCCGCAGCGCCGGGGGCCGCGGCAACCGAAGCGCACGGCCAAGCAGGCCACGCGAACGACCACGCGGGCCGCCGCGTGGCCCTGGCCCGCCAGCACCGGCAGTCGGCGGCGCGCACAAGGAGGCAGGGGGAGGGGGGGCGGAAAGGCTTCTTCGAGGGAGGCTGCTCCTGAGGAGGCGCGGGCCGCACCATCTCTACGGACAGGGCCCGCGCCTTCCAAGAAGCGGCCTCCTTCTAAAAAAGCCTTCGCCCCCCCCCTCCCAGTTTTGGACGCCCGAAATGGGTACGGAAAGAATGGGTACGGTGCCCAACAACAAGCGTTGTCCTAAACCAACAGCGGCCGCTGTTGGGCAGGCGGCCTTCTGTCTCAAATGGACACAGGCCGCGGCGGCGCGGACAGCGAGTCCTGTACAAAATGAGCAGGAAGTGCTGTTGGGCATCGTGCCCCCTCTTTCCGTACCCATTTCGCTCGTGCCGAGCAGTGCCCCCCCCGTGCTCCCCCCCCCGCAGAGAGACGCGCCGGCCCGCCTTCCAGCTCGCCGTCTTGCGGAAAGGGGCACCCCTCCCCTCGCCCCGTCTCGGGGGCCGCCCTGGCTGCCCCCCCCCCCCATGCAGGGAGAGGCGCCGGCCCGCTTTCCAGCTCGCCGTCTTGCGGGAAGGGGCAGGAGGAGGGGGAGGGGGAGGGGGAGGGGGAGGGGGAGGAGGGCAAGCTAGGTGCGCTCGCGTCATATCTGACGTCCTACCCCCTACCCCTCCCTCCCATCCCTTACCATGGCGCTGATTTTCTCTATCCGCGGACGCGTGTCGTAGCGGACCTGTGGCTCCGCGCGCGCGTGCGTAGTGGGTAGTGGTGCACGTGCGTGCGTGCGTGCGTGTGGTGCGTGGTTGTGGTTGTCGTGGTGGTGGTGGTGGTGGTGGTGGTGGTGGTGGTAGTGGTGGTGGTGGTGGTGGTGGTGGTGGTGGTGGTGGTGG